GAAACCAAATTGCAAACATGCGCTGGATTATGGAGAAAGCTAGAGAGTTCCAGAAAGACATCTACTTCTGCTTCATTGACTATGCAAAAGCCTTTGACTGTGTTGACCACAGCAAACTATGGCAAGTTCTTCAAGAATTAAGATTGCCGGAAAAAATATCAACAACCTCAGATATGCAGATGACACAACCTTGATGGCAGAAAGTGAGGAGGAATTAAAGAACCTCATAATGAGGGTGAAAGAGGAGAGCGCAAAATATGGTCTGAAACTCAACTTCAAAAAAACCAAGATCATGGCCACTGGTCCCATCACCTCCTGGCAAATAGAAGGGGAAGAAATGGAGGCAGTGAGAGATCACTGCAGATGGTGACAGCAGCCACGAAATTAAAAGATGCCTGCTTCTTGGGAGAAATCAATGACAAACCTAGATAGCATCTTAAAAAGCAGAGACATCACCTTGCTGACAAGATAGTTAAAGCTATGGTTTTCCCAGTAGTGATGTATGGAAGTGAGAGCTGGACCATCAAGAAGGCTAATGGCCAAAGAATTGATGCTTTTGAATTCTGGTGCTGGAGGAGACACTTGAGAGTCCCATGGACTGCAAGATCAAACCTATTCATTCTGAAGGAAATCAGCCCTGAGTGCTCACTGGAAGGACAGATCCTGAAGCTGAGGCTCCAATACTTTGGCCACCTCATGAGAAGAGAAGACCCTGGAAAAGACCCTGATGTTGGGAAAGATGGAGGGCACAAGGAGAAGGGGACGACAGAGGACGAGATGGTTGGATAGTGTTCTCGAAGCTACCAGCATGGGTTTGACCAAACTGTGGGAGGCAGTGAAAGACAGGAGTGCCTGGTGTGCTCTGGTCCAGGGGGTCACAAAGAGCTGGAAATGACTAAACAACAACAACAAGTACCAGAACGACTGAGTGAGACGGAACCCCTTCAACGGCGCATGAAATAGCCGATCCGAAAATGAATGGGGAGGGGAGGCTGGAACGTATTTGAATCCCACTGCCCTAAAATAGCTTATGGAGATTCTTAAACTGATGCAGCAAGATTTGGCTGTGATAATACACGATACTGCATGAGCTATGGAGGAACTTTCTCAGCTGCACAAAAAAATTGGAACGTTTTGAGCATTGAACACATTGAACATTGAACATTGAAGACATGAAATGACTCCAAAGGCGAGTCAAAACATGTACAGTGGAACCTCGGGTTGCGAACGTGATCCGTGCAGGAGGCACGTTCGCAACCCGCAGCTTTCGCAACCCGCAGCACTGCGTCTGCGCACGCATGTGTCGCAATTGGGCGCTTCTGCACACGTGTAAAGTGTGATTTAGCACTTCTATGCATGCGCGGACGCCAAAACCCGGAAGTAACCCGTTCCGGTAATTCTGGGTTTGGCGCGTTCGTAACCCAAAAACACGCAACCTGCAGCGTTCGCAACCCAAGGTATGACTGTAGACATATAGATTTACTGGTACCAAAACTTCATTGATTGTATGAAGAGATATTTGATAAGGGTATCCCATCCACTGTATCAAGCTTATATTCTTCTCCGCGACCCTTCCCCTCTGCAGGGAGGTGGGACTGATTCGGATGGTTCGCCCCCGCCACTTAATGGATCCAAATGGTTTCCAAAGAGTGGTAGGGGATGTTTTATCCCATGTTGATGGCCTTCCAGCTGATTTCCTGGTGGCCGGCTGGAATGCGGAGTTAACCAGGGCTATCGACTGACTAGCACTGAAGTGCCCTCTCCGATTGCATGGGGTGTGGACAGCCCCATGGTTTCCCCCAGAGATGAGGGTGATTAAACAATCGCTGAGACGGCTAGAGCGCCAGTGATGGAAAACTGAAAAAACCGAAAACTGAAAAACAGGAAACTTCTGAATCGGACCCAGGTTAGAGCTCAATGTGGAGCCTTCCAAGTGGTGATAGTGGTGGTGAACAGAAGCAGGAGACACTTTCAGGGAGTTTGCAATCTAATGGAACCACCACCACCATCAGGGTTTTTTGCAGATAGTTGCTCAGATTCGGAAAGAGGTAGATTCCACCGTGGGAGCAGGGCCAGGTGGGAGAATGCTAGAGTCCTGCCTAGTCAACTTATATGGGATCAATTTTCAGAGGCAAATATTCTATTCAGTTATATACCCATTGTATGGAAATTGGCAACAGGAGAGCAAAAATGGATTCCATGTGCCCTAATGGTTGCCAAAAGACTGATGAATTTGAAGAATTCCCCTTAATCAAAGGCTTGACAACATGACAACACTGACAGCATATGAACAGACAGCTTATAGACACAGACTTTCTTGGTACAAATGCAATAGTATTTGGAATGTGTTTACACAGAATATATTAGGTTATTGTATGGTAATGTAACAGTATTTTTGCTCTATTTTTCATTCTTAATCACTTTTTTCCTCATTTCTTTCTCACCCTATCTTTTTATAAATCAAATGCTTCTAATATTTTTAAAAATAAAATCTCTGACACTCAGCAGCTTTTCATGGCTTAGAATCCTCCACCCCACAAGGGCAGGGAAGAGGGCAGTGGTCCTTAGCTACCACTGTATCTTAGGTCTTCTCCAGGCATTATATATCTCACAAACATTTCTCCCCATAAAATGGTTGGCATGTTTGGAATCAAAGCATGAGAAGAGCACCTGCAAAAGCATAGTAGAGAGTTACAGTTTTCAGTTGCATAGATTGCTTTGGGCCTGGGGAAAATAATTGTGCATTGAAAATTGTACTCCCCATCTATCATTGCACCCAGCTATTAAGGACAAGCCTTGCCATTTTCATGCCAAGAAATGCTCCAAGGTTCCATGAGCCACAATGAAAGAATGAATTTCGTTTGGCAAACTACAGAAAACCTGCAACAGGCACACCCCATAGACCTCCATCGACCTTCAGGACTCCATAGACCTCCAGGAGCGACCCACCCTAGCTTCAGTCACTTTCATCTCAGAGGGGCTGACCCAGGTGCATCATGAGACCAGGAGTGCAGCAGAAACACGTCAATACATTACTCACGCAGAAACCCAGTTCAAGGGGGTGCTGTAGAAGTTGAAGGGGTACTGCTCTCCAATGATTTTTGCAGATACTAATGCACTAATGAGATGGTTTTCTGGCCTGTAAAAATTCGCAACGTAGTTGACATCCCTGATCAGATTCAGTGGGCATTTTGCCTTCTGCTGCATCCTGTAGGTCACAAGAGGGAGCAACAAGAGCAGTGCTATCATTCTGAATCCCCCGGCTACACATCCCTTCTGACTGTTCCTCTCAACCCCATAACCAGCTTTTCAGAAGAAGCCTAAACTCCTGTAAAGACGTTTCCAGCTCTGGCTCCAGAGACAAAGAGGAAAGGATATAGCTGAGTGGTAGAGCATTGGCTTGCACCCAAAAAGTGCCAGGTTCAACCTCTCCTAACTGTTCCTAACTGTTCCAGGTAGGGCTGAGGAGCTGTTACCAGTCAGTAGATAGTACTAAGCTAGAAGGCGGCTTCCTATATTCTGATTAAGCTTCACAAGGACTTATCTCCTACATCCTTTTCACCTGACCTTGACTGCAAGGACTCTGTGGCACACAAAATATTTTATATATCAAACTTTTCAGGCACGGTGGAGTAAATAACCTCCTGCTGCTCTTGATTGTGAAGTTTGTGTTATTGTTCTTAAAGGCAACATTGGAAGGGGGTTCATGGGGGATAAAAATAGATCACTGTGGTTCTGATAATTATAAGGGAAGAAAGGTCTCCTCTGGGAGCAGGTGCAAGCAGGAGAAAAACATGTTGACTCAAGAAACTGACAAGGTTCAAGGAGGGAGAAAGTTGAGTTTGGCTGAACATGATTGACATCAAAAATGCCCTGAAGCTGGATCAGGTGAAGGGTCCATAAAGTCCAGCATCCTCTTCTCAAAATGGACAGCCAGTTGCCCCAATGGGAAGCCCACAAGAAAGGGGTCAGTGCAGCAGCCCTTTCCCTACATGGGATTCCCAAAAACTAGCACTCACAGTCTTCCTGCCTCAAACAGTGGAGGGAGGCCATATTCATAAGGGCTAGTAGCTGTTTATAGCCTTATCCACCTCCATGATGTGGCCTAAATTTCTATTTTTATTTTAAACAAAATTCACATACCACTTTATTGTAGATAGAGGTTTACAAAAAAAGAACTCAAGAAGAATAATAAATTTCTGGGGAAAAGACAATGATAAAAACAGATATATTTAGAAATCCAAACTATTGTTAAGTAAAAAGTTAAGCTAAAGAAAATTAAAGAACATGTCAACTGTTACATGTCTACATAGTTTATTAAGGTTTACAGAGAAAAATACAAAATTTATATACTTTCCCCTTTTTAAACCAAACCAAGACTTTTATATAGATACAATAAAAACCCAGAAAGGGGTGTGTGTGTGTGTGTGTGTGTGAGAGAGAGAGAGAGAGAGAGAGAGAGAGAGAGAGAGAGAGAGAATCTATAAACCTATAAACAAAACTTATCTTCAAACCTCAAATCCAGATGTCATTATTTCAATTTCTTTTTCATGCAGAAAGTCTATGAGAGGTTTCCGGTCTTTAGAAATCTTAACAATGGCTTTCTCTGATTCAACATGTCAATTTTGCCAGCTCAGCTAAACCCTTTAGCTTTAACAGCCATTATTCCATTGTTGGCAATGATGTTTCCTTGCATCTTGGTGCATATAAAAGTCTCGCAGTCGTGATCATATATTGTAACAAAGGAGAACACATATTGTAGATACTCCCCAACTGGACAGAGAGCTTGGAGAAAGAGATGGGATCTCTTTAGACGCAGCTACTCCCCCTCCCCGACCCTCAGGTCTGCCCTGCTGCTGCACCGAATAACCAGGTGGGCACAGCTGGGTGAGGCCAGCTCCTGCCTGTTCACTCATCCAAGCAAGTCTCTGTGCTATAGATACAATCAGCCTCACCCTCCCTCTCTCCCTCCCTCTTCCCCCTCTCCCTCCCTCTCTCTGTTTATTTTTTTGCTGTCAGGTACTCCTTCGTGTTCAGTTCGGGCTTCAGTATAATAATGTAGCACTTGGGCATGAAGATGCAGCCCAGAAGCCCAGCACTGGAGACCAAGATGGAGAAGACCTGCACGGCTACCATGTATTTCCCCTTGGTGCTCAGGTAGGTGGGCACAAAGGACACCCAAACACTGCAGAAGACCAGCATGCTGAAGGTGATCAGCTTGGCTTCATTGAAGGCCCCAGGCAGTTTCCTGGCTAGGAAAGCCACCATGAAGCAGATGGCAGCCAGGAAGCCCGTGTAGCCGAGGGCAGCATAAAACATAGCATCAGACCCTTCATTGCACTGCAAGATGATCTCTCCAGGGAGGGAGCTCATGTCAGAGTTTGGGAATGGAGGAGAAAGTCGCAGCCAGGTGATGCAGATGACAACTTGGACAGTGGAACAGGAAATGACAATGGAGTTGGCCAGACTTTTCCCCAGCCATTTCCTCAGCCTGTTCCCTGGCTTGGTGGCCAAGAAGGCCAACACCACAGTGATGGTTTTTGCCAACACAGAAGAGATGGCAGATGAGAAGACAATGCTGAAGACCATTTGTCGGAGAAGACAGGTGACTTTCCTTGGCCGGCCGATGAAGAGGAAAGAGGACAAAAAGCAGAGCAGGAGGGAGAAGAGGAGGATGTAGGAGAGGTCCCTGTTGTTGGCTTTGACTAGGGGAGTTTCATTGTATTTCATGAATATTCCCAAAATGCAGCCTGTGGTTGAGGATAAGAGAAGGGCAAAGGAAGCCAGGAGGATCCCCAAGTAATCTTCATAGGACAAGAAGGTGATTGCTTTGGGGACACATTGATCGCGGTCCTTGTTTGGATGCTGATCTTCTGGACATTTGGTGCATTCATTGGCATCTGCACAGAGAAAGAGAGACATCATTATCCTAACATTAGTCATACACCTAGAGCAGTCTTATAATTGTGGGGAATGGTTGGCATATGGGAGAGATCAAGAAATTGTTGTTAATAATAATAATAATAATAATAATAATAATAATAATTTATTATTATTTATACCCCGCCCATCTGGCTGGGTTTCCCCAGCCACTCTGGGCGGCTTCCAACAAAACACTAAAATACAATAACCTATTAAACATTAAAAGCTTCCCTAAACAGGGCTGCCTTCAGATGTCTTCTAAAAGTTTGGTAGTTATTTTTCTCTTTGACATCTGGTGGGAGGGCGTTCCACAGGGCGGGTGCCACTACCGAGAAGGCCCTCTGCCTGCTTCCCTGTAACTTGGCTTCTTGCAGTGAGGGAACCGCCAGAAGGTCCTCAGCGCTGGACCTCAGTGTCCGGGCAGAACGATGGAGTTGGAGACGCTCCTTCAGGTATACTGTGTTCTCTAGTAGAGAACCTTCGATCCATGGCTTCTTTCCACTGGCGTTGTGTCCTACCTTCCTGAGTGGAGACTGTCCCTTCTGAGCAGGGAGCACAGTCATAGCAGCACGGAGGCTTCCCTTCCTGAATCTTCTTGGCAAATCCAGGGCAACAGCTCTTTGTGCATCTTGCATGAGGCATGGTCTGGAAATAAATAGAAGAAAAAGCATTGAGGAAATGGATTGTTCAGTATTGGAAGGATCCCTGGAATAACACTAATACTAACAATAAAATAATATCTATACCCTAACCATCTGGCTGGGTTACCCCAGCCACACTGAGCAACTTCCACACAGATAAAAATATAATAAAACGTGAAACATTAAAAGCACCTTTACTTCCAATTGCCCAAAGTGAGCCCAGGCCCAATTAGGAGTGATTTCTTTTTTGCTTTCTGTAGAGCAGAATGGCTGTGAAATCTCTTTAGTGTTTCTGCTTATTCCCTTTAACATTGATATACTGCACTTTTCTACACATACAATCCAGGCAACATGTGAATTGAACCAGCCATTCCTACAAAATGGGGCACTAAAAAAACTCCTGACACTGTTGCCATCACACCTGCTATGTGTTGATGCAGTTGTGAAATAAGGGTGGACTGACTGATTTCTGCTTTGCTTCCAAGGCAAATGGCATTGTTGAGGTTGGCATGAAGACTGCAGAACGTGGCACCTAGTTTGCTCGTGAGGCATATCTGCACTTCCCATTTTCATTTTAGGAGGCTTTCCAGGCTCGATAAAATATATATATATTACAGCTGTTCATTTTGTAATTCATTTTGTAAGCCTCTTATTCATTGTCAGATTTTATACATGCTTATTCAACAGTGAGATCCATTAAGCTCATTGCTATTTATCTCCAAGGAAGTGTCCATGACTGCAATAAAAGCCTCATATGTAATGTTCAACATGCTGTTAGAATGTAGAATATACCATAGATATTAAAAAGGCATCTAACATTTCTCCTACCTTCTTCCACAGTGTGGGCCATACTATTGTTTCTGGGCTAATGGTGAACTTTAGATTTGAGGACTCCTGTCTCTCTATGCTCCCAATCTTCACACTAGCATGAGATTTATTAGGGAACAACACCCAATTGACAATATCAAAGTCAATGGCCAGTGCCCCATTCTTATCCAAGTACTGTCCATCAGCTGAAGTATTGGAAGAGAGATGGACTTCTTTCAAGAATGAATGAAACTAGAACAACAGAGAAAACCACGTTGGACGGCATATATTGATCATAAAGACATTTGGAGGTGGAAATCATTGGTTGGATATTCATTCACTTGTCATATGGGGACATGGCTGCTGTGCACACATGAGAAGAAAATGAGCTGTCCCAGTTTTTCCAAGACACATGTAGGGCATGCTGTGTTCCTATTATGATGATTCCAGAGTTGGAAAAGAAATCACAACCTTCAAAAGCGAGAGGCCATTTCTGTAATCTACCCCCCACTCTTTAATCCATATCTAATTCTACCCTTCCTTCCCCACCCATCACACTTTATGTCAGCGCAACTTAATAGGTTTGATAGAAAACACAAGGTGAGAGACACAGGCCAACCCAGATGGGTTGGCATGGAATCATCCTATAAATTAGATAAGCAAGATGACTAGCTTAGAAGCAATTACATTAAATGTGAGGGGGTTGGGAAACCTTATCAAAAGAAAACGCATCACCTCGTATGTGAACACCATGAAACCACACATTCCTTTCCTACATGAAATACACAATCCACCGAAAGGAAGCAAACTCCTGAGTGATCCCTGCTTCAAGTCAACAATGGATTGCACCTGGTTCAGGAAAGGCCCACAGAGTAGCCATAATACTCAGTAGAGACCTGAGCTTCAAAGCCACGACAGTGCTAAAAGACAAAAAGACAATTGGCTCCTTATATGCCCCAAACTAAAAACAATTCGAGTTCATCCAGAAAACTCTAAACAAGTTCCTCTCCTTCTCAAAGGGGAAGCAATCCTGGGAGTGTGACCTCAACCTAAATATGAGAGGCATCTTCCTGAAAGACACCCACCCTACAACACCATGGACAACCTTCCTCTGAAGGCAGCCCCTTCAGGGACTCTTACAAATTAGGGACTCTTACAAATTGCTAAAAAACACAGGGGTCTCTATGACATATGGGGCGAAGAAAACCTGGGATACCCCAGCTACACATTCCATTCCAGACACCACAGCACAGTCCAGACTAGATAAGAAAAGAACAACAAGTATCACACACCCCACTCACGCACAAAACCAAACCTCACTAGAGCCAACCAAACACAACCAACTACACCCTAAGCCATGCCCGACCTCTCTCACCACCAAGGAAATACAACAAGCAAATAGTAAGAGAACCTACACAGGTGACACTGACACAAAACCCCACGCATACACTAAGCAGAAGAATAGAAGCAAAACCACCTGACTTCACCCCAATCACCATTCCTCCTCCCCCTCTTTCGCCCGCTTTTCTTCCTAACCTAACCCTGTATGTAGCACTAATGTCTCACACCAAATGAAACTGATCTGTACAAGCACAACTTGAAAAAAAGACAATGCATGTATTTTTGTAAACTAAAATATATTACATATATAGATATAGATATCAAGAGGCCATACCTGCCATGGCTGTAGACTTTGAAGCTCCATCTCGTCTCCTCCACCCACCATCAACCTCTGCTTTGATCTGGATGAATAGGCTGCATTCAAAGCCTGAGCCACAACTTGGACACTGTAGTAAGTGATATAACTGTCTTGGGAGTGGATTCCTTCAATCTCCTCCTGGGGCAGCAGCATCTGATTCTTCTTCTCCCTGCATCTTTCCCAACTCCTCACAGACAAGGCATGCTTTGAATATGAACATACAAATGTTTTCCGCCAAGAAGCAGAAGCTCTTGGCTCATAGTAGTCCTTTTTTGCTTCCTTTTTGGTCTTCATTACAAAGGACAATGAACCATGGGCATATCGGAAGGCTTCCGTCTCATAAAACAAGATGTTGTCCTGAAGACCGGTGGTGATCCAGACTTTCCCCCCAGTTTGTGTCCTTTCAAAGAAAGATTGTACCTCTATGATAACATAAAATCCATACTGAGAATCTGTATAGTAAACAAATACATTGACTTGTCTCCACAAGGGAGATGGCTCGTGAGAGAACCACAGGGAGGTTTTCCATTGCACTCTTTCGGTGAAGGCAGCACAAATTTCCCATTTGCTCATCAGAGGTGTCAAGGTGCTCAGGAACTTTTCTCCATTGCCATTGTCTGAAGCAAAGAGGCCGACCCATGTCCATCTGAAGTGCAGGAGGAGTTCCACCACCCCCTGGCACTGAGCTTCTTCATTTGGGACCATCGAGTTGACAAAAGGAGACTGTTTTTTATCATGAAGAACAAAGCCAGAACTGAGCTGTTGAGAGAAGGGAAAGAGACTGATGCTTTGCTTTTCAGGACAAATATTGGATGACAAATTTAATTATCAACCTCAACCTTATTTGAAATAAATTTTTATTATTATTTTAGCAATGTATAAACCACTTAACTGCTTAGCAATGTATAAACCGCTTAGCAATTACAGAGGAAATAATAATAATAATAATAATAATAATAATAATATAATAATAATAATACCCCACCATCCCCGGCTAGAGCCGGGCTCAGGGTGGCTAACACCAGTAAAATTACAGTAAAAACATAATGGGGGTGTGTGAACCAATTTAAAATACAGGTTAAAATGCAATTTAAAATGCAGCCTCATTTTAAAAGTGGCCCATAGATCAAAACCATAAGGGCTGGGAAACGTAAGGGTCAGACTGAGTCCAGACCAATGGCCAGGCGGAACAGCTCTATCTCAGCATCTTCATTTAGCAAAGGAGTTGTTCTATATGATTCAGCTGGTTTAGGTCCATATGTTAGGAATAGATATAATTATAGCTTCTGAACTATAGGTGGTTTTGGGTGTGTGTGGAAGATTTGTAGATTGTTGTATTAACTTGTTATTTTATCAGTGGGGAGTTTATAAAGGGGCATAATCAGCATAAGTCATTGGGTGGATTTCAGTTTTAGTGATCTTTGCTACTGGGCATGAAGCAATGAGAGAAAATCTCTATAGAAATATGAATTGTGGACATGAAAATAGAAAGTGAGGTCTTTATCAGTAGGATGTTAGAATCTCCAAATATCTATTAAGCTATTTACTTCCATTATGTTTTAAAGGTCTTGGTTTGTTGTTTAGTCGTTTAGTCGTGTCTGACTCTTTGTGACCCCATGGACCAGGGCAAGCCAGGCACTCCTGTCTTCCACTGCCTCCCGCAGTTTGGTCAAACTCATGTTGGTAGCTTCGAGAACACTGTCCAACCATTTCGTCCTCTGTCATCCCCTTCTCCTTCTGCCCTCAATCTTTCCCAACATCAGGGTCTGTCCTTCAGGATCTGTCCTTCCAGGGAGCACTCAGGGCTGATTTCCTTAAGAATGGAGAGTTTTGATCTTCTTGCAGTCCATGGGACTCTCAAGAGTCTCCTCCAGCACCATAATTCAAAAGCATCAATTCTTCGGCCATCAGCCTTCTTTATGGTCCAGCTCTCACTTGCATACATCACTACTGGGAAAACCATAGCTTTAACTATCTTGTCAGCAAGGTGATGTCTCTGCTTTTTAAGATGCTGTCTAGGTTTGTCATTGTTTTTCTCCCAAGAAGCAGGTGTCTTTTAATTTCGTGACTGCTCTCACCATCTGCAGTGAAAGTAAAATCTCTCACTGCCTCCATTTCTTCCCCTTCTATTTGCCAGGAGGTGATGGGACCAGTGGCCATGATCTTAGTTTTTTGATGTTGAGCTTCAAACCATATTTTGCGCTCTCCTCTTTCACCCTCATTAAAAGGTTCTTTAATTCCTCCTCACTTTCTGCCATCAAGGTTGTGTCATCTGCATATCTGAGGTTGTTGATATTTCTTCCAGCAATCTTAATTCTGGCTTGGGATTCATCCAGTTCAGCCTTTCGCATGCTGAATTCTGCATATAAGTTAAATAAGCAGGGAGACAATATACAGCCTTGTCGTACTCCTTTCCCAATTTTGAACCAATCAGTTGTTCCATATCCAGTTCTAACTTCTCGTCCCACATAGAGATTTCTCATGAGGCAGACGAGGTGATCAGGCACTCTCATTTCTTTAAGAACTTGCCATAGTTTGCTGTGGTTGACACAGTCAAATGCTTTTGTGCAGTCAATGAAGCAGAAGTAGATGTTTTTCTGGAACTCTCTAGCTTTCTCCATAATCCAGTGCATGTTTGCAATTTGGTCTCTGCTTCCTCTGCCCCTTCGAAATCCAGCTTGCATTTCTGGGAGTTCTCGGTCCACATACTGCTTGAGCCTTCCTTGTATAATTTTAAGCATAACCTTGCTAGCGTGTGAAATGAGTGCAATTGTGCGGTAGTTGGAGCATTCTTTGGCACTGTGCTTCCTTGGGATTGGGATGTAGACTGATCTTCTCCAATCCTCTGGCCACTGCTGAGTTTTCCAAACTTGCTGGCATATTGAGTATAGCTCCTTAACAGCATCATCTTTAGCCTTGTTATTTGCAGTGCTTTCTAAGGCCCATTTGACTTCACTCTCCAGGGTGTCTGGCTCAAGGTCAGCAACCACACTACCTGGGCTGTATGAGATCTCCGTATCTTTCTGGTATAATTCCTCTTCTTGATGTCTTCTGCTTATGTTAGGTCCTTTCCACTTTTGTCCTTTATTATGGTAATCTTTGTACGAAATGTTCCTTTCATATCTCCAATTTTCTTGAACAGATCTCTGATTTTTCCCATTCTGTTGTTTTCCTCTATTTCTTTGCATTGTTCGTTTAAGAAGGCCCTCTTATCTGTCCTTGCTATTCTTTGGAAATCTGCATTCAATTTCCTGTATCTTTCACTATCTCCCTCACATTTTGCTTGCCTTCTATCCCCTGCTATTTGTAAGGCTTTATTGGATAGCTACTTTGCTTTCTTGCATTTCCTTGGCTAGGTCTCGGCTAGATTGCCTTTTTTGAGATATGTCAATCATAGATGAAATCATGAAATCATACCATTGAAGTCACCTCCAAGTATTATTTCACCTTTAGCATGGATTTTTATTACACTATTTGTAGATTTGACAGGGGAAAATATTGGTTAATGCACATTGAAGAATACAGTGGTACCTCGAGTTACATACGCTTCAGGTTACAGACTCCGCTAGCCCAGAAATAATGCTTCAGGTTAAGAACTTTGCTTCAGGATGAGAACAGAAATCGTGCTCCGGTGGCAGCAGGAGGCCCCATTAGCTAAAGTGGTGCTTCAGGTTAAGAACAGTTTCAGGTTAAGTACGGACCTCCGGAACGAATTAAGTACTTAACCCGAGGTACCACTGTATTTATATTAAAGCAGTTGTACATTTAACGTTATGTCCCTTTCTTCCTATCATTTTGCTCAGTTTATTTATTAAAATAGTTATAGTATACTCAGCATAATTTGTTGTTTCATGAGATGGCAAAGCCCATTCTTACTTGTGGGATTTTGTAGATGCCCAATATGCTTGCAATGTGCATGGAGATGTCGGATTCACCCCGTTCATGAACAGCCAGTAATGTTTTCTGCCTTCCACAGGTATAGTTTGGAATATTGATTTTCCCACCAGCAAGCAGATCTGTCAGGGCATCAGAAGTGGTTCTTCCATCAAAATAGGTCTCATAGATGCTGTAGCCCAGGGTGATGTTGGGTAGGAGCCTGGGGTTATGATTGACATCCTGCAAGGCCAGCAAGAAGCTAAGAATTTGCCATCCCCTCTTATTCACAGAACTGCAAAAAGAATTATGTCACATAGTGACATTCAGTTCATTGAAATTGAAAGTATAGCCTTCTCCTATAGCCACTAAATATCTTAAGGCTTTCTAAAATACTTCTGTAATACTAAACTCTTAAAAATACATTTTGACCTGGCCAATATGGCCAGCTACCTCCCAGTCTCAAATCTTCCATTCTTGGGCAAGGTGATTGAGCGGGTGGTTGCTGAACAACTCCAGTCATGACTGGAGGATGCAGACCATTTTGATCCCTTCCAATCGGGATTCAGGCCTCATCATGGGACGGAAACTGCCTTAGTTGCGCTGATCGATGATCTCCAGTGGGCTAGGGACAAAGGTGAAAGCTGTTTTCTTGTTCTGCAGGATCTCCCTGCAGCCTTTAATACCACCGACCGTGACATCCTTTGTGACTGTCTAGAGGGACTGGGAGCTGGGTGCACTGTCATACAGTGGTTCCGCTCCTTCCTCCTGGGCCGTGTCCAGAAAGTGGTGTTGGGGGGGTGAGTGTTCAGACCCCTGGGCTCAAACTTGTGGGGTGCCTCAGGGTTCTGTCCTCTCCCCTATGCTTTTTAACATCTATATGAAGCCGCTGGGATAAATCACAGGGGGCTTGGGCTGGGTGTTCATCAGTTTGCAGATTATACCCAGCTCTACCTCTCATTTAAATCAGAACCAGTGAAAGCGGTGCATGTCCTCTGTGAGTGTCTGGAGGCAATTGGAGGATGGATGATGGCTAACAGATTGAGGTTGAAATAAATAAATAAATAAATAAATAAATAAATAAATAAATAAATAAATTTTGTCCAGTTGCACCTTGGAGACCAACTAAGTTTGTTCTGGGTACAAGCTTTCGTGTGCATGAACACAAAAGCTTACACCCAGAACAAACTTAGTTGGTCTCTAAGGTGCTACTGGACAAAATTTATTTATTTTGACTGTGTCAGACCAACACGGCTACCTACCTGAATGTAAATTGAGGTTGGATCCTGACAAGACAGAAGTACTGTTTTGGGGGGGGACAAGGGGAGGGCAGGTGTGGGGAGCTCTCTGGTCCTAAATGGGGTATCTGTGCCCCTGAAGGACCAGGTGCACCTCCTGGGAGTCATTTTGGACTCACAGCTGTCCATGGAGGCACAGGTCAATTCTGTGTCCAGTGCAGCTGTCTACCAGCTCCCTCTGGTACGCAGGCTGAAACCCTACCTGCCCTCAGACTGCTTCACCAAAGTGGTGCATGCTTTGATTATCTTCCACTTGGACTACTGCAATGTGCTCTATATGGAGCTACCTTTGACGGTGGCTCAGAAACTGCAACTAATCCAAAAAGTGACAAAAGAGGCTTCTCCAATATTGATAGATGGGAGTCATTAAACCTTATCCTTTGGGGAAGGGTGAACTCTCTCAAAACGAACATTATCCCAGATTTATTTATATTCTGAGAAGACTTCCAGTTTTTATATCCCGATCATATTTCCAAAAGATAAAGTTCCTGTTTAGGAAATGTATTTGGAGTTCAAATGTACTGAGAATATCATTGCAGAAAATGCCATCACAAATTAAGGAAGGTGGCTTTGGAATTCCAAATCTGGAATTATACCAGCATGCTTATTTATTGTCAAGTATCAGACACTGGAGACCTACTGGGGGTCTTAATCTCCCAAGCTGAGCAACTTTAGAGAATACATACATACAGTAAAGCCTTTGGTTAGGTGGACAGTATTAGGATAAATTTCCACATGCTAAACTTACCATGTGGGGAAATCCTACTTTATATTTTATCCTTTTATAAATAAATTATTCTTTTTTTTTTTTTTTAATAAAATCTCTCACACTCAGCGGCCTTGTGGAAGTCCGGCTCCACTTTGTCCACTGGTCAGTAGCTAAGGTCTTTTCCAGGCATTGTACATCTCACAAACATTGCTTCTCATAAAAGGGTTGGCATGTTTGGAATCACAGCATGAGAAGAGCACCTGCCTAAGCATAGTAGAGAGTTACAGTTTTCAGTTGCATAGATTGCTTTGTGCCTGGGGAAAATAATTGTGCATTGAAAATTGTTCTCCCCATCTATCATTGTACCCAGCTATAAAGGACAAGCCTGCCTTTCAACATTCACTTTTCTGAGTGAGAGAACCAATCTCCCGTTCATCTCCAGGTGAGGGTAGTGGCTCACTCCTGGGGCACTAATTCATAAACTTCTAGAAAAATTTATTGGGTTGAGAGTGGGAGAACTCCAAAATTTTCATGCCAAAAAATGCTCCAAGGTTCCATGAGACACAATGAGAGAATGAATTTCATTTTGCTAACTACAGAAAACCTGCAACAGCCACACCCCATATACCTCCATAAACCTCCAGGACACCATAGACCTCCAGGAGAGACCCACCCTGGCTTCAGTCACTTTCATCTCAGAGGGGCTGACCCACGTACATCAAGAGAACTCGAGTGAAGCAGAAACACATCAATACATTACTCACGTTTCAACATAGTTCAAGGGGGTGCTGTAGAAGGTGAAGGGAAAACGATCTCCAATGAATCTTGAAGATACAATTCCACTAATGAGATGGTTTCCTGGCCTGTAAAAATTCACAGCATAATTGATATCCCTGATCAGATTCAGTGAGCATTTTGCCTTCTGCTGCATCTCGTAGGTTGCTAGAAGGAGCAACAAGAGCAGTGTTACCATTCTGAATCCACCTGATACATATCCCTTCTGACTGTTCCTCTCAACTCCACAGCCAGCTAATCAGAAGAAGCCTAAACTATTGCAAAGACGTGTCCAGCTCCAGCTTCAGAGACAAAGAAGACATGATATAACTGAGTGCTAGAGCACTTGTTTGCACCCAAAAGTGCCAGGTTCAACCTCAGCCAACTGTTCCAGGTAGGGCTGAGGATATCCTCTACTTGGAGAGCTGCCACCAGTCAGTAGATAGTACTAAGCTAGAAGGCGGCTTCCTGTGTTCTGATTAAGCTACACAAGGACTTATCCCCTACACCTGAACTCTATATTGACTGCAAGGACTTGTTGTGGCACAAAAAATATTTCATACATCAAATTTCTGAGGCACAGTGGAGTAAATAACCTCCTGCTGCTCTTGATTGTGATGTTTGTGTCATTGTTCCCAAAGGCAGCATTCAAAGGGTGTGCAAGAGGGATAAGAATAGATCACTGTGGTTCTGATAATTGTAAGGGGAAGAAAGGTCTCCTCTGGGAGCAGGTGCAGAGCAGGAGAAAAACATGTTGACTCAAGAGACTGACAAGGTTCAAGGAGGGAGAAAGTTGAGTTTGGCTGAACGTGACTGACATCAGAAGAGCCCTGAAACTGGATCAGGCGAAGGGCCCATAAAGTCCCGCATCCTCTTCTCAAAATGGACAACCAGTTGCCCCAAAGGAAGGGGTCAGTGCAGCATCCCTTTCCCTACATGGGATTCCCAAAAACTAGCACTCACAGTCTTCCTGCCTGAAACAGTGGAGGGAGGCCATATTCATAAGGGCTAGTAGCTGTTTATGGCCTTATCCACCTCCATGATGTGGCCTAAATCTCTATTTTTATTTGAAACAAAATTCATTCACCACTTTCTTGTACAAAACCCCCCACAAGAATAATAATAAGTTTATTGGGAAAAGACAAGATAAAAACAGATGTATTTGGAAATCAAAAAAATTATTAAGTAAAAGGTTAAGCTAAAGATAGATTAAAGAACATGTCAACTTCTGCACGTCTAAACAGACTTCCCTCAATATAAATTGTTTTCCCAGGCACCAAAAAGAATACAGAGAGTGTGTCAAAAGGCGGAATGTGGCAAAGTGTAGGTGCTGCCACAGGAAGGGATCAATTTCCACCTGTCCAGAATGAGCATTGTGTGGCACCAGTAGTGCTTTTTTCTGGGGGTACTCAAGGGTGCAAAGTACTCCCCCCCCCCCAAAAATGTTAAAGGCATGGTATGAAGTAACAACTTCATGGTGAGTGCAAGCACATTCTTTTCTTTTTTTAAAAAAAGCCCTGGGCACCAGCAATTGTGCCAGTTTTTCAAACTAAAGCAGATGAGTGAATATATAGGGAAGAAGACAATTCCTCCAGTCAACTCTTCCCAAGCTGTTAGGAGCTTCAGTGAAACCTTGAGCTTGGCTCAGTAACAAAGGAGCCACCACTGAAGATCTCAGAGCAGAGTTGTAATCGGCTGATGAAGTCCCAATCCAGCCCAATGACCATCTCTGCATGGATGTGGTCCTCCAACGCCAGGCCAGGGGCACCCCCCTCCCACTGCCGAGTGTTGGCCTAAAAGTGATTTCAGTGGATGGAGTGGAAGTGACTGTGTCTTGTGCCAAAGTGAAGCATTGGGACAGGCACAAGGTGAGGTCGTGTCAGCCTGTTTCTCATTTTTAACTAGGGCAGAGTTCTTCTTTTAAATGCTCACTCTTAAACCAAGATTTTTCATTTCTCCAAGTGTTTTGAATGTTTACCATTCTAGAACAGGGGGCCCTAACATGGTGTCATCCAGATTTTGTTTGATTATCACTCCCAGCAGCCATCTGGAAACCTATTGAATCAACCAACTTCCAAAGACTGACCATCCAAAAAGGTCTCCTGCCAAGTGTAAAAGGTGCCGTTACCCTCAATCTCAACAGGAAGTGATGTGAACTTGACAAGGGACTGATGTCAATGTCCTCACTTTTAGTCTCACCCTCTTCCTGCCCATTTGAGGGAAAGGTCAGAATATGGCCTGATCTGCATGCATTGGGATAGTGACATGTTGGGACAGCCGAACATGGTCATCATGAATAGCCATGAAGTCCTGAGCCACTCAAGAACCAGTTGCCTAGTCATGGATGTACTGAAGTCCCCACAGGCCAGATGAACTTCGATCTTCAAGCTGTTTGCTACATAAAAACAATTATCACTTCGTCCATTTCACAATAAAACCCCACAAAGCCACTCATCTATAAACAAATTATCTTCAGAACAGGCTCAAATCCAGATGTCATTGTTTCACTTTGGTTTCACAGCAAAAATTCTATGAGAGGTTTCCGGTCTTTCAACAAATGTTAACAATGAGCTTTTCTCTTATTGAATGTGTCAATTTCACCATCTCAGCTAAACCTATTAGCTTTAACAGCCATTGTTGGGAATGATGTGTCCTTGCATCTTTGTCCATGTAAAGTCTTGCAGTCTGTGATCATACATTGTAACAAAGAGGAACACAAATTCTAGATACCACCCAACTGGATACAGAGATGGGATCTCTTAGACCCAGCAACTCCGTCTCCTGACCCTCAGGTCTGCCCTGATGCTGCCCTGAATACCAGGTGGGCACAGCTGGGTGAGGCCAACTCCAGTCCGCTCACTCATCCACTCAGGTCTCTGTGATATAAATACAATCAGCCTCCTCATCCACAATCAAACCATAAAAGCAACAACAAAACCCACACAAATTAAAATCAGTTAATCCTTAAACAAGATCCCAATCCAAAATTCTGTTTAGCAGCCTCAGTTTTTGTAGCTAGAGTCAGTCAGGACCTGCCCCTCCTCAGGCCATGTGGAAGAAGGCCTGTAAGGCAGGGAGCAGGTCTTCTGGGACTCAAAGCTGTGAGATAGTTGAGGAAAGAAGGGGCAGGACAAGAAAGGGCATCATTTTTGGTGACCATAAGTCTGTATATAATTTCTTATTTAACGAATTGAGTTTATTTGGATCCCATCAGATTTTGTTATCCTCATTGATTATTAATTGTTGGACCAAATTATCATATTGGGTCTATAAAATAAAATAAAATCTAGCTGCTAAGGCCTGTAAGGCAGGGAGCAGGTCTTCCAGGACTCAGAGCCACGAGACAGTTGAGGAATAGAAAGCGCAGAGTGACTAAAGTGAGAAGGCAGTGATGCTGAAAGGTAAAATATCGACTGAGCAAAGTGAATGAGGTGTCATACTGAGAGGAAAATGGCAGTTTTAAACAACTGAACTCCTGAACTCCCTAGAGAAACACAAAAATTCAGCATCACCTGTTGAAAATGATTAACAATGCTTTTAATACAGACCAAAGGAAAGATGGATAATCTCTCTCACTCTCTCTGTTTAGTTTTTTGCCGTCAGGTACTCCTTCGTGTTCAGTTCGGGCTTCAGTATAATAATGTAGAACTTGGGCATGAAGATGCAGCCCAGAAGCCCAGCACTGGAGGCCAAGATAGAGAAGACCTGCACAGCTACCATGTATTTTCCCTTGGTGCTCAGGTAGGTGGGCACAAAGGACACCCAAACACTGCAGAAGACCAGCATGCTGAAGGTGATCAGCTTGGCCTCATTGAAGGCCCCAGGCAGCTTCCTGGCTAGGAAAGCCACTGTGAGGCAGATGGCAGCAAGGAAGCCCATGTAGCCGAGGGCAGTGTAAAACATGGCAACAGACCCTTCATTGCATTGCAAGATTATCACTCCAGGTAAGGAACTCATGTCAGAGTTTGGGAATGGAGGAGAAAGTCCCAGCCAGGTGGTGCAGATGACAACTTGGACAGTGGAACAGGAAATGACAATGGAGTTGGCCAGACTTTTCCCCAGCCATTTCCTCAGCCTGTTCCCTGGCTTGGTGGCCAAGAAGGCCAACACCACAGTGATGGTTTTTGCCAACACAGAAGAGATGGCAGATGAGAAGACAATGCTGAAGACCATTTGTCGGAGAAGACAGGTGACTTTCCTTGGCCGGCCGATGAAGAGGAAAGAGGACAAAAAGCAGAGGAGGAGGGAGAAGAGGAGGATGTAGGAGAGGTCTCTGTTGTTGGCCTTGACTAGGGGAGTTTCATTGTATTTCATGAATATTCCCAAAATAAAGCCTGTGGTTGAGGAGAAGAGTAGGGCAAAGGAAGCCAGGAGGATCCCCAAGTAATCTTCATAGGACAAGAAGGTGATTGCTTTGGGGACACATTGATCACGGTCCTTGTTTGGATGCTGATCTTCTGGACATTTGATGCATTCATTGGCATCTGCACAGAGTAAAAGAGACTTCAGTATGCTAACATAAGTCATACACCTAGAGCAGTCTGGATGCTGTTACAATTGTGCAAAATTGTTGGCATATGGGAGAGATCAAGAAAGAACACTGTGTTCACTGGTAGAGAAGTTTCAACCCATGGATTCACACCCCCCCCAAGGAAAAACAAAATAGAAATGCCTTCATAGGAGTTGTGGAAGAGTAATCTAAGATTTACTAAGATTTATATGAATATGATTTATATATAGTATATATATATATGAATATGATTTCTATATAGTATATATCAAAAGTACAAAAAAGCTGGCCAAAATGTATTAAACTAAGTATGTGTTGGAAGTACAAAATGTGGCAGACTTGCAAAAAAGCTATGGGTACTGGGGAAAGATCTATAATGAGATTTTAAAAATGTTTCAGCTGATGGGGAAGAGCTGATGATTCCCTATAAACCTGAAGCTTTGTTAAAGGAATTTTCCAAAAACCCTGGTTAACTTATTTATGCACTCAATGATGGCAGCATGAAGAATATTGTATTCCCAAAGGAAGATTGGCTTTTGAAAAAGATGGAGTATTTGGAACTGGCAAGATTAACAGAAAAGATCAGAGACCAAAATGACCAAAAAAAAAACAAACAAAAAAACACCCCTTTAAGACTGGAAACATTTTATGGATTATTTAAAGAACTGCTATAGCAAGTTGAAAACGCAAGGAGGACATGAAATCATGAAATATGAGCAACAGTGTGAATTACTATGACATATAAGTTAACAAATATGGATGTATTGAATAGTATAGGTGAAATAACCAGCATTTAAGGGTAAATATGGAAACCATGGAGAAGGAGGATGGGAAGTCAACCGATAAAGTAACTTACAGTTTATGTTAAAATAGGTAAATATTTCTTTTCTGTGGAAAAATTAATAAATAATCTTTTTAAACAAAAAGTTTTCTCTGTGAAATGTTTCCTAGTTGCTTCTATTGAGAGCATACAGGGAATGGCGAAGCAATTTTTGACAGTGGGGCTTCAAGGGTACAATTGGGAGCTTAAGCAAGGCAGACAGTCTTCCGCCCTTTATCTGATGGGTGGTGCATGCATATATTGCTTAAGGAGGTGGGAACAGTTTCCATCTAGTGGAAACTGCTTCCTTCTGTTGTTGCTCTTTGATCCTCCGAAAACCAAGCAAAAGGTCAGCCTTCTGGCTGGAGGAATGGCAGACTCAAATACCCACTGCTGGTGCTCCTGCAAGCCAAGATAATTAAGCAGTGGTGAGAGGTGATCAGTATATAAATGAGAAACCAGAGAGGCATTCCATTCATGAGGCATTCCGTTCATGGTGTTCCATCACAAACACGATTGTTCGGGCTGGCTCAGATATTTACCCCACCCTCCCATTGAAGGCCCTTTCCAATGATGTCGTGTCCTACCTTCCTGAGTGGAGATGGTCCTCGCTGGGCAGGGAGCACAGTCATAGCAGCACGGGGGCTTCCCTTCCTGAATCTGCTTGGCATATCCTGGGTGGCAGCTCTCTGTGCATCTTGCATGAGGCGTGGTCTGGAAATGAAGAGAAGGAGAATTGAGGAGAATGCATTAGGAAATGGATTGTTGAGTTTGGGAAGGCTCCAGGAAAAGGCATCTTTACTTCCAATTGTGATTCTTTTTTCTTTTTTTGTAGAGCAGCATGGCCATGAAAACTCATTAGTGTATCTGCTGCTTTCCTTTAACATGAATACCTCCTTTTTTCTATACATACAGATGATCGAGGCAGCATGAAAGATACAAAGAACAAGAGCCTAACTTCATGATCTTTGAAGAAGCAAGCATAAAACACTCCCACAAAATGCAGCACTAAAACAAGTCCTGATAAAGCTGCCATCACATCTGCTGCTGGTTTATGCAGTTGTGCTTAAATATGAGTGGGGTCCATTAAGCTCAATGGGACTTGGCTCCAGGAAGCGTCTAGGATTGCAATAAAAGCTTCATATGTACTGTTCAACTAGCTACTAGAGTGTAGCAGAAATCACATAGGTTAAATAAATTTATCCTACCTTCTTAAACACCATGGGCCATACAGTTCCTTCTGAGTTAATGGTGAACTTTATTTTTGAGGACTTCTGTCTCTCTATGCTCCCAATCTTCACACTAGCATGAGAATTATTCGGAAACAGCACCCAATTTACGATATCAAAGTCAATGGCCAGTGCCCCATTCTCATCCAAATACTGTCCATCAGCTGAAGTATCAGAAGACAGATTGACTCCTTTCAAGAATGAATGAAGCTAGAACAGAGGAAACTCCAGCTCTGAGATAATGTGAAACCACTTTGGGTAATTCATCCTTGCTGCGTCTGCACCCTAATCTCTTTTGAATAAGGGCCAATACATCTTTCATCTGGACTCCTAGGGACTATGATGCACGCTAAAGTCCCCTCATTTGGCTTCAACATTTAGTCAATGACCAAAGTCAGTATTATTGCATATATTGGAAAAGACAGGTAATGGTTTTGGGAAATTTAGTGAAAAAAATTGACAATATGGATTTATTAAAGGTGGAACACAATGTTGTTCAAGGGATGGATTCCAATTTCTACTACAGGGTCTCTTTTTCTAAAGGAAACTATGAAAATGTCGATCCAGTTGCATTAGGGCTCTGGTAGTCATGGATTATATGGAAGTTTGGAGGTAGAAAAAAATTGGTTGGATATTCCTTCCATTTATCATAGGGCTCCCTCAGAGCAAAGCAATTTTGGAGCTCTGTGGATGAATTTGTAAGACAAAAGTTTGTAAATGTATTGATGTCTAATGATAATCCAGAATGGTAGTGTTTGAATCTCTGAATTTAATTCCCTCATGTTTTCTGAGTTAGGTCTAGTTTTAGACTGCTTATTAAATTTTGTAAAACAACCAGCCCCATATTCATTTTACATCCAGATTCTCCTGAGTGGAGATATGAGAGCCATCTTCCAATATCTGAAGGGCTGTCACATGGAAGATGGAGCAAACTTGGTTTCTCCTGCTCAGGAGGGTAGGACTCGAACCCATGGCTTCAAGTTACAAGAAAGGGGATTCTGGCTAAACTAAAAACTTTCTGATGGTAAGAGCTATTTGATAATGGAATGGACTCTGTCAGAAAGTGGTGGAATCTCCTTCCTTGGATATTTTAAGGCAGCGGTTGGATGGCCATCTGTCATGGATGCTTTAGTTGGGATCCCTGCATTGAAGAAGGTTGGACTAGATGATGTCTGGGGTCCCTTCCAATTCTACAATTCTGTTACTCTATTATTCTATGTTTTGACCTTTCGAAACTGCATTTGGTGACTTTTTTGAATTCCCAAGAAATGTAGTGTACAAAGCTGCTAATAATTATTGTTATTCATATTATTGTTTATTTTTAAAATTACCGTATTTTTCATGTGTAAGACTAGGGGTTTTTTTACCAAAAATTAGGTTTCAAAGTGGGGCTTGTCTAAAACACGGGTAGTTCTGAGGGGTGTTTTCTTAATTTGGAGTCCCCCAAAATAGGGGGTGTCTTCTACATGGGGGCGTCTTATAGATGGAAAAATACGGTAGTTGCTTTATCTTGCCCAGGGTACCCAAAGTCACTTACCAACAAAGCAACAAACCCCCAATCTCTGCTTAAGGCTTTATAACTGGAAACCAACACTTTGAATTGGGCCCAGAAACCAACTGGCAGCCAGTGTGGTTGGACCATTGCTCCAACCATCTAGCCCTGGTGAGTAACCTGTCTGCTGAATCTGACACCAGCTGAAGTTTCTGCACTGTCTTCAGAGGCAGCCCTGTGTGTAACACATGGTTGTGATCTAAGTAGTCTAAAATAGGTAGATAACTGCAGACTCAGACCAATGGTCCAAACAGCTCTATGGTGCTCTCTATGTTGTGACGCCTGCCAATTTGTGGCTGGTACTTTTGTATGCCGGAATGTCACACTGGGTTTGTGGCTCTGAGGCATGAGAGGGCCATTTCTGTTGTTTGCTCCCTGTGGTTCCAGTTTCTCCTTGCCTTATGAGTCTCTGAGAGGCAGGACTCTGGTAGGTTTCTGCCAGCAGGTGAAAACAATGTTATTGGATTATTTAAACATATGATCTGTTCATTGCATTTCAATGTATTCCTGGAAACTGCCCTCAGGTATGATGAAGAGTGGCTTATACATTTGCAGAAATTTGTAGAAATAAATGAATAAAATACACCGCCACAATGCTTGATTCTGACTGCGGGATAATGGGCAGAAAGGCACAATGGATTTGGTAGAACATCTGCTTTGAATGCAAAAGGCCACAGATTGAATCTCCAGTTGGGCTGGGAAATATTCCCTTTCAGAAACTC